TATTTTTCAAGGGACCGGGAAAAATGTTCACTTTATCGAGAGATTCGTTAAACAAACCTTTACTTGGGTAAAACCCGGGCGAAGCCGGGTACATCCATACAAGAATAATGATACAATTCCAAGGCAAGATACTATTCCTTTAACTTCCAATTACCGAGGCAACCAATTAATATTGATTTTATTCAACTTATCGAGTATTTTTCAAGGGACCGGGAAAAAATGTTCACTTTATCGAGAGATTCGTTAAACAAACCTTTACTCGGGTAAAACCCGGGCGAAGCCGGGTACATCCATACAAGAATAATGATACAATTCCAAGGCAAGATACTATTCCTTTAACTTCCAATTACCGAGGCAACCAATTAATATTGATTTTATTCAACTTATCGAGTATTTTTCAAGGGACCGGGAAAAAATGTTCACTTTATCGAGAGATTCGTTAAACAAACCTTTACTCGGGTAAAACCCGGGCGAAGCCGGGTACATCCATACAAGAATAATGATACAATTCCAAGGCAAGATACTATTCCTTTTACTTCCAATTACCGAGGGAACCAATTAATATTGATTTTATTCAACTTATCGAGTATTTTCAAGGGACCGGGAAAAAAATGTTCACTTTATCGAGAGATTCGTTAGACAAACTTTTACTCGGGTAAAACCCGGGCGAAGCCGGGTACGTCCGCTAGTACTATATAAAAGTTAACTATACAAAAATCAAATTGTGTCATGTTTTCTTATGTGGGAGCTAAAAAATAAAACCCCGGCACAGATAATGAATAATAATCTCCTTAGGTAAAAATTCCAAGAACAAAGGAGAAATGTTTCTCAGATAATATTGGTAATTTATAACTTCTCAATATTTAAACACAAGGTAATAAGACCAAATCCAAATAAATAAATAGTGTTACGATACATTAGCATGTCATCTGTTATGAAAATTCGAAACTATTATGGACGCGTATGATTCTTTTAAAAATAAAACAATTTCTACTGCCATTACCAGACCCTCCTATTAATTTTTCCATTGCAGTAAGGGCAGTAGAATTGTTATATTTTTAAAAGAACCATATGCGTCTATAATAGTTTCGAATTTGAAAATAAATAGTGTGTATATTTCTGTAAAATATAGACATTTCAGCCAGTTAAAGTTTTATTTTCTCAACGTTTCAACAAAAATCTTTTGTCTTTATCAGGAGAATATTGGTATATTATTTATTTGTATTTGGTCTTATTACCTTGTGTTTAATCAAGACCCGGAAACAAACCCCAAGTCAAGCTGGATGTATACCAGACCCTACCTGTGGACCTAATGGACCCCACGACAAATAAAACCTTCATTTTGATTACTCCCAATGTCTTCCTACCTCAACAATATATTCACAAAATATTTGGTATTTTAAATGTTAACAGAAGTTTTAAGTTCTCTATCTATTATAATAATCTTGCCTGTACCATATGTACCTGGGATAATTAATGGTTGGTAATAAGACAAGTGATGTTGTTCTCCCAGTGAAACAAACCTCAAAATCAGACAAGCCTTCCCTGAAACTGCCGAGCTTGGAGAAGACAACTCCCAGATTGGAAAATTTGATGGTGAGTCCATTCTTCTTACACATACCCTTTACACCACTTGTGGATGGAGCAATATTTGTATGGGATCAACATGCCAGTGTGCTTTTAAATTCATTAAAACCTAACCTAAAAAGTTTAAAGTTTTGAATTGCTTCTTGCATTTGTGGAAATTGTATAAAATATATTCATTTTTTCAGCACCCTCTATTCTTGAAAATTCAAACAAAAATGTAACACACTGCTATTTTAAAAATTATATAACTAAAAAAAACTATTTTTACAGACCTTATACTGCATGGTATAACAGTGATAAGGTATAATTTGGATTATAACTTAGAAACATAAGGTAGCAAGACCACATCAACAAATTGTGTATGACAGGTAACACTATTGTTACCATCTTCATAAGTATTTTTGAAATGTAAAAAAATTATTCCAGTTCTTTTGTCTGAAGATGGTAACAATGCTGTTACTGAAATATCAAGCACAATTTATTGATTTGACCTTGACTGTTAGGGGTCGGTGGAAGGCTGGTTAAACCGTTTGGTTTTTGACCACTACGACCCGGGTTCGATTCCCGCATTGGACACTGTTTTCTGATTTTAAAAAAAAAATGCTCCAATGGTCCCCGATTCTTGCAAAAGTCCAACCCCACCAGCGAGTGCAAGTAACCAAACAGGGCTCTGGCACATTTGTAAGTGCAAAGTCGAACTGCTTTTCACATGTGTAGACATGTGGTGCACTTACAGTAAAAGCAGTCGCCTACTTCTACCCACCATGATTATCATGACCTGTACCACATGTACTAGGGATAAGCAAAAAAAAAAAAAAAACCTTGTTACCATATGTTTGAAATGATAAAAATAATTATAATAATGTGTTTTGAATGTGTACAATGTAGAATATCAATGCAAGAACATTCCTGCCAACCTCTCTATAAAAGAATGTTTCATCGCCAAAATTACCAATTTTATTAATTAGCAACTTTTCTATAATAGGACACCTATCCTTAAAGGACAATTTGCCTTGCAACTAGGTGTTATCCTTTACAAATCAATCTTGGATTTTCTTATATTTATGATTAAACTAGCCGAATGACCCGGGCAACGCCCGTGTTTTACCCGATTGAATGTTTTGATTCAAATACTATTTGTTACAATTATAAATTGACGCCTTAAATAATTGCATTTGTTAGTTATAATAACTATAGCCTATGTGCTTTATCTGTCTATGTACTGTTGGCTTCCGTAGGCGTCTCTTACTGGGAAAAAGAAAGAGAGGATTCCATTTGGTTATTAATTAATATATGCATTTATTTAGGGAGCGACCCGCTCCAACACAATAGTTACAAAGACGAAATGGCGAGTGGGGGGGGGGGGGCAAAGGTGGCGTGAGCATAGCCAACCAATAGGAGGGCGCCATTCCAAAAAAAAAGCAAATGGTGACAGAGATGACTGATTAAGAATGACGCTCGTAACTGTATATAGAATAAGGCAATAACACACCATCTCTATATAAGCAATGAAAGTATTAAAGCACAAATGTTTTTCCATAAAACAAAATTCTACTGTCCTTACTGTGATGAAAAAATATTGGGAGGGTTTGGTTTATCAATGGTGAACCCTCCTAACGGTTTCCCCAATTTAATCCACCAGACCGCTTTTTAGAACTCTAATACTGTATTGGACGATTCTGCTTAATTAGACTACACTGAAGGATGGAATTAATTAACCCAGTGTATAAGTTTGTTGTTGTTTCTCTTATCCCCTCTTGTGCAAAGATTACCTGAATTCCAAGTAACCCCAATGTATCATAATAAAATAAAATAAGACCTAATCCAAATAATTTATTAGCGTGTGACATTTCGGCAACAACATTGCCACTATCATCAGACAAAAGAATAAATGAGAAAAATTATTACAGCAAGTTCTTAAATAGTACTGTTATCAAGTTTTTAAACAAGATAATTTATTAATATTATAATCTATAATCCAAATTGTGCTTTATCACCCCAATGTATCATGTTGTTTCTTATCCCCTTGTGCAAAGATTACCTGAATTCCAAGTAACCTCAGTGTTTGACCATATTGATGTTTGTTATCCCTTCTTGTGCAAAGATCACCCAACTTGTTGGATGTCCAGGAGAGATAGTGTGTGAGGCCCCCAATAACAACCTGGCCAAGTTTGAAGGGACCCTCTACTGGGAAGGGACCTCCCTCCCTGTGGACAATGACAAGATCCTCTACCGTGGATGTGTGCTGCGCAACACCCGCTGGTGCTACGGCCTGGTGATCTTTGCCGGCAGAGACACCAAGCTGATGCAGAACTCTGGTCGCACCGTCTTCAAGAGGACTTCCCTGGACCGTCTCCTGAACATCCTCATCATTGGGGTGGGTCATCGCTAGAATAGTTGTTGTTGTTTCTTATCCCCTTATGTAAAGATTACACAAATTCCATGAGTCCATGCTTCTCGAGCTGTTTTATAATAGGCAGTGGCCTCCCAAAGGTCCTGTTTAGTGCATCTTGTACAAGCCAAAATGTGTTCTGGAGCTGCAGGTGCATGGGAAAGTGAGGAATACATTTGTGTGTGTTCTGAATCAATTGAAGATGAATCAAAAGTATCTGATCCCAAAAATCGGACAAGAAACATGTTGATACATTAACGCAATGGGTAAAATCGCCTTAAAAAAAAGCGGGTGATTTGCAAACACAAAATCGATGGTAAAACAGGCGACCAGCGGTAATATCCGTGAACCCTGAATGAGTCATATACCTAACAAGGCTTCGATTCTAAAAATAGAACTAGCGGTCGTTTCTGAGAATCTATAAGCCAATTTGTTTGTGGCTCATGAGACAGGCATGATCGCGTCATTTGTAACAATTTATAATAGCCTTCTATTTTTATCTCTTATAATAGAAAAGTTAGATTTTCTTATTTTAACATGTTCTGAAAAATTAGAAAAATAGAATGTAAATGTGAACCAAATGTAAATGTCCCCAAATTCTTTGTTTTGAAATCGCGGAATTTTATTTCAAAATTTTTTTAATCACAATTTTAAGTTAGTTATAAGCCTAGTATTTTAAATATATTTTGTTATTTTGGGACCTAAATTAGGTTTGTTATAGGGGTAGTTTGCTATTTTAAAAATCGCAAAGTTTGTTATAACTATGGTATTTTCAATGGAATGGAATTGGGAATTGCCATAGGTTCGTTATAAGGGAAGGTTCGCTATATCTGGGGTTCGTATTAGCAGGGTTTTACTGTATGTATATTTAAAATACAATATAACGCGGCTGATGATTGTAAAACGAAAATTGCAATTATACCGCGAATGTTTCTTTTAAACAAAAATCAAAATCTATTTTAAAGAGAAATAACGATTATTTCTAACTTTAAGGATGAAGTATGATAGGATGAACTGTGAAGAACTGGTAGCCTAGTGGACATGGCACCTGCCCGGTAAGCAGAAGGTTGTGGGTTCGATTCCCGCCCCTGGACACTTTTATTTTTCCGTTTGCCATTACTCTTCACAGTTCATCCTATCATACTTCATCCGTAAAGTTAGAAATAATCGTTATTTCTCTTTAAAATAGATTTTGATTTTTGTTTAAAAGAAACATTCGCTGTATAATTGCAATTTTCGTTTTACTGTATGTATATATATATTTTTTCTTAATTATATATACAGTAGAACCTCCCTGTAAAGGACACCTAATTGCAGAGCCAAACTGTCTTTTAGGGAGAGGTGTCCTCTTACCGGAGAGTTACTAAATAGTAAAAATGTTAATTTTGCAAATGAAAACTGTCTTTTTTAGAGAGGTGTCTGCTAAAGGGAGGTTCCACTGTATATATTGCTACAGGAGACCTCTCTACAAACTCTCCGGTAAGAAGACACCTCTCCCTAAAGGACATTATGACTCTGCAAATAGGTGTCCTTTACAGAGGTTCTACTGTTTATGTAATTAAATAAAAGAGTCATTTTCATACAATTTCATTTTTGTGCTATATTTTCATATACAGTTAAACCTGTCTATAGCACCCCCTCTTTGGACTCACCAAAATAGGGTGCTATAGAGAGGGGGTGCTATAGACAGGTCACTTTTAATGTAAATCTCGCATCGTACTACGTATTTAAAATCGGGCTAAAATAGAGAGGAAGGCGCTATTTAGAGGGGGCGCTATAAACAGGTTTAACTGTATATATATGTCTGTATGTATATAAAATTTGCATATGTGTGTCCAGATTGTGGTGTTCCTGCTGTGCCTCTGCCTGTTCTGTACTGTGGCAGCCGGGGTGTGGGAGAGTGTCATAGGCCACCAGTTCCAGCTCTACCTGCCGTGGGACTCCTACGTGCCGAGGGATGCCTCCAGTGGTAGTGCTGCTGTCATTGCTGTGCTTGTCTTCTTCTCCTACGCCATCGTGCTGAACACCGTGGTTCCTATCTCCCTCTACGTCAGGTGAGTACGGCCCACTCCTGTTGGACACCTGACCAACTCAAACCTTTCTTCCATCACCCTCCTATTATATAAGGCTCTAGATAGGAAGCTAAAAAAGTTTAATAGGAATCTTCTTCTTCTTTCTTATCTCCACTCAATCATATTACGGTATCAAGCTTGTAAAGCTTTTTGATGGTGTCTGCCGGGGAAATTGGGTGAAGTAGAATGCGTCTGTCTTTGTCATTAAGACTGGGAGCACTACTCAGTGGCAGGCCGACTTAGCTCCAAAAGAAATGGCCGCCTCTGACATGAGAAACAGACGCCATGTGCAGCCGCTCCTAACATGGAGTACAAACGCTGCTCATCCTGTATCCCTGGATTAGGAGCCCTTACAGGGTACTATCAGCCGAGCCAGCTGAGCCCAGGTTTTTTAGTGAGCTTGTTACTGCTCCCCCTCCTTTTTCATCCGGGCTTGGGACCGGCAAAGGTGGAGTTTGAATAGGAATAAATAGTGGGAATTATATACAGTAGAACTATACCTCTCTCTAAAGAACAACACTTAGTTACAGAGATGTGTCCTCTTACACGAAAGTTTCTAATCATTATTTTTATTATTATTATTATCCCATTGTAAATACAGGGTCCTAAGACCAAATCTAAATAAATAGTGTGTGACGTTTCAGTAACATTGAGTGGTGTGGGTGTGCAGTGTGGAGGTGATCAGGTTCTGCCACAGCCTATGGATCAACTGGGACCAGCACATGTACTACGCTCCCAACGACACCGCGGCTAGAGCCAGAACTACAACCCTCAATGAGGAACTGGGGCAGATTGAATACGTCTTCTCCGACAAGACCGGCACTCTCACCCGCAACATCATGGCCTTCAACAAGTGCTCCATCCGTGGCAGGCTCTACGGGGAGGTCTTGGATGAGGCCTCAGGGGAACCTCTTGAGATCTCTGATGTAAGTTCAGCAAGATATTGATGAGGGTGGGGATGTAATGCTCAGTTGGTTTATTTGGTGCAATGCTGGGCTGTGGTTCAGTCCAGGAAGTTTGTTAAGTTCAGGGTCTCGCCAGGCCGGTTGTAGGAGGGGTTAGAGCTCTGGCTAGGCATCATGCAATCACCAGTTAATATCTGAACAGGATGAAGATTAATTTATTACCGGAACGTTATATTTAACACATTGCGAAATGGTGGTCAATGGTCAAATACAATTTATACCCTTCATCTCTGTTATGCCGTTTCTCTGATAAGGATAATGAAATAAAAAATGAACAAAAATTAAAATAATTTTTAATGGTCACGTCTACTATTGATCGGCTACTTGTTGACACACAACAATATGTCACTGGAGAGTAAAGGCAATCCATACATCTTTATATGTATTGTATATATGTGGTGATTTGTGAAGTAGTTGTGTGGTTAGTGGTAAGGATAGACACAGGAGACAGAAGCAAAGTCCAGTGAGGAGTAGATCTAAGGGGAAAAAGAAGGTCTGAGAACCACCCTGGGAACAACTGGTATCGAGACCATCTCAGTGCGAACTGTCTCCCAATCATCAAATCCTGGTGCTTTCAAACTCTTTTGAGTAGGATTAATTTATCCTACCAGAAGGAAGGGGAGTGAGGCAGGTTAAAAGGCTGGACATCTGGTGAATGGGAGTTGTTCTGACCTGGGAATTTTTTTTCTTCCCTTTCCAAATAAATAAATAGTGTGTGACGTTTCGTTAACAGCGTTGTTACCATCTTCAGACAAAAGTACTGAATGAGAAATTTTACCACAGCCTTCCCTTTTTCTTCCCTTTCTTCATACTCCCACACAGCTCATCTTTATTTAAATATTATCTAAATATTATGACATATATGGGATCATTCTCTACCAAATAGATGTTGATGCTGGGAATAACTGAAGAAAGAGTGGAGACCTGCAATGAGTTGGCTAGAAGGGGCCAAGAAAACTACCAGAAGGTCATTAGATGATCTGCGAGCAAAGGTCACTAACTCTTAACTACTAACAAAACTAACTCTAACTACACTAAGAGTAAAGGTCATTAACAAATCAAATTAGAGAATATGTGTCTGTATAGCCACCAAAATTTGACTTGATTGAGGCTAACAACAATAGCAAATAGGGATCATTAGATATACGGAATCTTTTTTTTTTCACCAATATTTTTTACAATTAGCAGAACACACTATTTCAGTTGAGAATGATAAGGAAAACTTTGGTAGTAAACTTTTGTTTATCACAGTATCCACAACACCTACTATAATTCATGCATTTTTTAAATCCCAATCTACCTTTACTTCAACTGGCTACAATTCAACAGATTTTACTTCAGCTTTGGTGTTGAGGACAAACATGTTCACTAGCAGTGAATGTTGCAATGGTTTGATAGTTGTCTTACCTGACTATAATTCAACACTGGCCAAAAATTCTGATCCCTTGAGATGTTGGACTGTTTATTAATCAAATTTTAAAATGTTAATGGTCTGATACTCTTTTTTAATAATGTAGACTCATGGACAAACTTAAGGAAGTTGTCCCTTCAGCATGTATATCATGATTCAGACAATAACTCTGAAAGATATTACAGTGACCTTTATTGAAGACACAACATAACCAAGTGTGAACAAAATGCCTCTGTCACCTTCACAAAAATAGATGACCATCGAAATCAAAGGCTTTCCACATCCTTAAGTTTTGTCCAAGAGTATATCTATTGTATTTATAATTTGAGATAACCAAGTGAAGTATCGTCTATTTTCTTATTTTTTGAAGGAGACGGAGGTGTTCACACATGGTTTTCTCTTGTGTCCTCAATAAAGGTCACTGTAATATCTTTTATAGTTATTGTCTGAATCCCGATATACATGTTGAAAGGTTCCTTAAGTTTTGTCCATGAGTGTATATGGCAGAGTCTTCTTCTTTCTTATCTCCACACTGCGTGAAGTAGAATGCGTCTGCCTTTGTCATCAAGACTGGGAGCACTACTCAGTGGCAGGTCGACTTAGCTCCAAAAGAAATGGCCACCTCTGACATGAGGAACAGATGTCATGTGCAGCCGCTCCTAACATGGAGTACAAATGCTGCTCATCCTGTATCCCTGGATTAGGAGCCCTTACAGGGTACTATCAGCCGGGCCAGATGAACCCAGGTTTTTTAGCAAGCTTGTTACTGCTCCCCCTCCTCCTTTTTCATCCGGGCTTGGGACCAGCAAAGGAATATGGCAGAGTTACTGGAGAGAGTTACTACTGGTATTCCCATGCAGCTACAGTGATGGTGTGGTGTGTATCCAGGACATGGTGCCCCTGGATCTCAGCTCCAACCAGTACTTTGAACCCAGCTTCCGCTTCTATGACCACTCCATCCTGGATGACATCCAGAATGGGGACAATGACGTCTTCCAGTTCTTCCGCCTTTTGGCTGTGTGCCACACTGTCATGCCAGAGATTAAAGATGGTATGTAACTCCTCTCCCTTCTTACTTACATACAGTGCTTTCTTTATCCCATGACAGGGGTGATTGCACTACTATAAATGTCTGCACTATATACCTCATATTTATATTGATTAAATAAAGGCATATCTTATATCAATATAATTTATTAAAATATTTCCAATATAATCCAATACCTTTATTTTAATGTTATCAAAATGGATTGCTCAATTTTAAACATATTTATTTATATTGTAGTTTTTATTTGTTCTTATGTGTTAATTTACATAAGTTTAATGATAAGGCACAATTTGGATTATAGATTATAAACACAAGGTAATAAGACCAAATAAATATATAGTGTGTGACATTTCAGTAACAGCGTTGTTACCATCTTCAGACTTTTGTTGTCACACACTATTTATGTATTTGGATTTGGTCTTATTACCCTGTGTTTACATAAGTGTAAGTTGCATATTTTGTTATATCTATTTGCATAGATTGGTTTGGATTGTCATTGCTATATAAATTAGTGTGTATTTAATTTTTAGAGTAGACTGTTCGTTGGTACCGAAGAATAAAGCTCTTTTTCTACTTCCCTCTCTTCTGGCAACTATTTT